AAAAAAAAAAAATAAAAAAAATAATGTTAAATGTATGACTTAAATAAAGCAATTTTAAATTGAAGTTTTCATTTTTAGGGCTTACTTCTTGATTGTAACCATGTAAGAATCACTGGTAATGAGGATGTTTTTTTTTCCTTTTATACAAACAAATAATTGCTTGGATTTTTAATTAATAATTAATAAGTTAAATTATTTTATTTTTTAATAAGAAAATTCTATTCTTAAGCATATTTTATAAGTTAATTGCTTAATATATATAATATTATCAACACATTGTGTAAATATGACATTTTATATTGAGACTTGATTTTCTTACTGAAAATTTCATAACTTTTGAACCACTTTAACTAGAAAGCTGATCTTGGTGTTTTTCTAATTTGTAAACCATTCCATGCTCTCTTCAACTGTACTGCATTTATAGTTTTAAAAATATTTTGAAAATATCACCTGCGCCATAAATATTAATAGGAATAGAAATATTAAGGAATAGTCCTAAAGAAACAGACCTATAAATGGCTACAATCTGCAAGGCTATTAAGATCTTATATTTTTGTAAGTTTCACATTTAATGCAAACCCCCTAACTCTAAGTATTTGTTTTATCATAAATTTTTGCATTGTGCATGATAATTGGCTTTACAGTACCGTAATTGTTTATTTGATTTATTTCTTCTTGAAATAAAATGAAAGTTAAGTTTTAATGTTGTGAATAGTTATGTTTTGACAAATTTTGATTTCAACAATTTTTAATTCACATGGTTATGACATTGTATGATAATTGTTTATTTGATTTATTTCTTCTTGAAATAAAATGAAAGTTAAGTTTTAATGTTGTGAATAGTTATGTTTTGACAAATTTTGATTTCAACAATTTTTAATTCACATGGTTATGACATTGTATGGTACCTTATTTCTTAAACACTGGCCTCGTCTTTAGCATATTATTTGATAAGGTCGGCATATGAGTGGGTTTTACACTTTTCAGGCTTTACCCAGCCAAATAAGTGGGGTCAGCTTATAAAAAAAACGGGTCTTAGAACAAGTATCTACGGTTGCTAAAAACTAAGACTCACATGTTAAATTTAATATCAGTGAAATTCTGGCTTCTGGTCACAAGGATAATTCTTTTAGTTAATGGCATATGCAAGGGACTAATTTTATTTTTAATCTTTTTCTTGTAGAGACATTTATGAGGTCCTACTCACCTCCTGACTAGCCCACTATAGTGAAATTTTAATAAATGGATTAGCTAACATAGTAAATGATAATGATACTGCATATGGCTTTGGGATATATAAAAAGCATGATGATAAGCATAAAGTACCTTGGCTACATCTTACAAGCCATTATATTATTTACAGGAACAATGAATGAATCATGAGCAAGACTGCCTTTGACATGTGTTAAAGTGTATGTCTAAAGCAATAGATTATTATAGGCTATTCTCTTTATAAAGATGCATCATGCATCTAAAAGTGAGCAGGGGTTAAAAAAGAACTGCCTGAATAGCATGGTGTCATTCAGGATAATTTTTATTGATTCCTAGGCTATAGCTTATATAGAAATGCTCATCTCTTTTCAGAAAACCAAAAACCCAGCAAGGACGAAGAGCTCTTGAAAAGAAAGAACCTAAAATAGTAGAAAATACAAAGAATGCTTTATTTTTTAAAGGGGGGAACACAAGTCAGACAGTAACACAAGTCTTGAAAGAATGGGTATGTCTTTCATTAAAATGTATTAGTAGGCCTATGCTAATTTAACTAATTAGAAGGAATTCTTTAAGAAATACTATTAAATGTTGTGGTGAAAATTCACAATCTTTTTCTGAAATCTTTTGCTATCAGCTTGTTTTGCTTTAACTGTTATGTACAAATTTTGTTCTATTTTTACTATCAATATTTATTATTATTTGTCACTTGACAATGTGTTTTGAATTTTTAAATTATTTTCTTTCAGCATACTCTCAAGAAACCAAATGCATCTATGTTCAGCAAGTATGTTATTTAATTTTTTTAAATATATAATTGGAAAATAAATTCAAAATATTTTTAGCAAAACTTAACTTAAAACTAAAATACAAGACAGTGATATAGTATTTTCATTGAACTAAAATAATTACAGTGCCAAAAATTTTACCTGCTGACCACGAAATGACATTTATTACACACCCGGGTCTGGGTGTTTAAACAAAATTTATGCATATTTTTAACATAATTTTTTTGTACATAGGTTTATGACAACTAGTAGCAAACTGCAGCACTTACGCATTTATCGCAGCTCTGCAGCATGTATGATTTTAAAAAAAATATTTATGGGTAAGGCTATTAACTTTTCCCCCATTGTGTGGAACACATTTCTCGTTTTTTACAGATTAATCCTGATTGGGTGGACGACATCTCTTGTTTTCTAAAGATAATTCCTGAATTTCAGTCACTGCTGGGAATGGTCTCAAAATATACCACAAAGTCGACCTGGCTCAGCCCTAATTTTCAGTGAAATAAAATTATTAGTTTCAGTTTGTTTATCATATATTACATTGTAATTGTAAAATTATCTATTTTTCTCTTTCTTCAGAAAAAATACAACCAGGCCTTTTGAGGATCAGAGCTCAGTGGTATGCACCTCTCTCCTATAATCATAATTTTTAGTGATGTTAGCTGAAATGTGATGTAATGGTAGTCTATTAATTTTATATTATTTAAGAAGCGCTGTATTTAAATCATGTTAATCTAAACTTTAAAAAAAAAAAAATTTTAAGTCAGAATAGCTATTAGTTTATAAGTCATTTTTAATCAAGAAGCATAAAATTTTAAGTGTATCATTAATTAAAATGTGTTGATTTTCAACTTTAATAGATCCATAAGTTAGCTCTCGGACCTAAAACTTTTATGGAATGTCAAGTTCTTAGAATATAATGCAAAAAAAAAAAAAAAAGCATCTAAATAAATAAATTCCCATAGTAATCTAAAATTGGTTTTGATTTCCCTATAATGAATGTATTACGTGTCTTACAACAGGAATTTTTCACATCCAAAGCTGACAGCTCCCTTTTTATGTTTGGCAGCCACTCCAAAAAGCGACCTCATAACCTAGTCATAGGTAGAGTATTTTTTTTACTGCAAATAAGCAATCCAATATAATATTTGTGATTTAGTTAGTTACTCTGTTGGTTCAGATATATATATTAAAAAAAAAATTACATAGTTTTTAATTAATTCACAAGAGTACTTAATTACATTAATGACCTAATATTGAACTTTATTTTCAAAAAATTACTATATAACGTTAATGCTCAAAGAAAAGTACATAACAAATATAAGACACATTAGTTACTCCTAGAAAAATTTTCACTTTAACCATAGACCCAAGCTTATACCTTAAAAAGTATTAACAAATTTGCTTATATGCTCAAAAACATACATTGCTTGCTTATATGCTTTATTTGCAATTTTTAAACATACATGTCATAGTTTTTCAACTGTTGGTAGTCCTAATTTGTAATTCAATCTCTAGCTGGGTATTATAATACTAATTAATAATTCAATCACTTTCTAACGATTGTAGCACTAATTAGTAATTCAATCACTGGGTGGGAATTGTAACACTAATTAAAATTAGTAATTCAATCACTATCTGGGGATTGTAGTACTAATTCATAATTCAATCACTGCTGAGGATAATTTGCAATTACTAATAAACAAAAGAATCACAATTAGAATAGGTAAATATTAACTCTAGAGGTTGAAATTCTTTTGGCACATTCAGGTGCATCTCATTTTTTAATGTATTTTCAGGGAGATTATTTGATAACCAGGTTTTGGACATGGCTGAGTTTGGAATTGAAAAGTTTGCATCAATGCAAGAATTCAAGGCAAGATTATATAGTTAAACAACTGATATGTCTTTTAACAGCATACTTAAAAAATTGAGATTTTAACGTTTATGAAATACCGGTAGTCAAAATACTCATGTTCAGTGCTGTCAAACATTTTAAAATATTAGGAGTTATCTAAATGATAGCGGTGTAAGTGTGGTTGCTGTATAAATAACTCATGTTTTAATTAGGAATTCTGATGAATATTAATGCTGACGTTAAACTATGCTACCGGTACCTAGAAAGTATGTCATGAGCCCTGTATTACACAACTGAACTAGAGATTAGGATAACTTTTTGGAAACTCAAATTCAAATTTGAAGAAATTGCTGTTGCAATAAAATTAATTATTTTTGTTTTTATCAGGGACAGAAAGCTGCATCTGGAATTAAACCTTGTCTAATTTTTTCTGGAGAGTTCTTTGAAGAGAATGATGAAAACAAGAGAATAAAAAACTTACTGATAGGTAGATCTAAATATAATATTTTATTTCCCATATATTTAATGTGATTTGATAAAAAACACAATTTTGTGTAAAAACAAATCTAATAAATTAAAAGTTCTTTGTGTGAATGGATAAAAATAGTGCTTGATTGGTTTATTTCAAAAGGGAAATAGTTTGAAGTGGTTCTTAATTTATGTCTTTTTAAATTAAAACTTATTTTTCTTTTTTTTAAAGTAGGTTTTCTACTCTCCACTCAAATGCAGATTTAGATGGTGTGTGTATATTTCAAATATTTAAAAAACTTAATTACATTTTTTTTTCCAAAGATTTTTTCAGAGGGGCAACTGTTGAAAAGATTTCTTTATCTGGTTTAGAGCATGTGATTAACATAAGTGCAGTCAATGGAAAAATATACATCCGTAGTTACAGGTAAGGATTTTGTTTTAAGATTGAAAGGATAACTTTAAAAAATTTACTATAAAGACATATGCAATGGAACAAAGTTATTAATTTTTCTATTTTTTTTGTATGTCACTTACATAGGGTGCTGATGAAGAAATCTGGATCAAAGACACCCAGGGTAGAACTCGAGGCTATGGGACCATTTTTAGATCTTAGCTTGCGGAGAACTCGCCTAGCCTCAGATGATTTATTTAAAAGAGCACTTAAAAAAGCTGCTTTAGCAAAGGTACAGCAGCATTCATAAAAATTATCATTGATGAGGTCTTACATGATTTCACAATAGTATATTAATGTTATCTTGCCGGAAAGATTTAAATAAGAGGTATTCATTAGGCAATTTTTGGCTTTAAGGGATATTGAGAAAACATACTGAGCATCTCAAATGTCAAGCATAATCAATCCTTCAACTTTACCTTTCAGGCAAAGAAGAAGAAAAATATCTCCCATGATGCACTTGGTAATAAACTGGGTCGCATTCATATGACAACACAAAACTTTGGAAAGCTCCAAGCCAGGAAACTCAAGGGTCTCAAGAGAAAGGCACCAGTTGACAAAGCAGAAAAAAAACAGACAAAAGAGGGAAATAAAAGAAAGAAAGTAACAGATGCAGATTCTGAAATGTGAATGTGTTTAAATTTATGAATGTTTGATGCTTTTGTTGAAAATTTGTCTTTAAATTTTATATGAGTAGGGAATTTGTTCAAATAATAATTTAAAAGTTTAGGGGATATATGTATTTGATCCTGGTAGTAATATATGTATTAATTTTGAAAAAAAAAATTAATGCTGAAATGTGTTGTAAAATAAATTCTAGTTCTAGCAAACAAAATACATTTTATGTATTACGGGGTATGTGAAAATGCCTATTAGGAAATCAAATATTTAATATATAAAGCTTAATATGAATTGTATGGTTTTTTAGCATTATATTAGTGTATTTATAAAAATATTATATTTCATTCATTCAAATTGTCATAATGTTGAATAAAAATATGTAACAAATTTGAAATCAATTGGCATTTAAAAGATTTTTATTCTTATAATGGAAGCTCGATTGTTAATGATAAATTGCAACAGCTTTGACCTACTTTTGCAACTGCTCTCATTTCATATATTATTAGACAGATAATATCTTAATAGCTTTTACTGCAAAAAACACTCAACAAATGTGGTTTCACAAATTTAATGAATTTCTCATGAAGATCACAAAGTAAAATGTATAGTGTTTATTAAACAATATTTCATGTAAAAAAAAAAAAGATTAACAAACTTATACTTGTCTATATATTAATAGTAAATTTCATTAACAAAACAATATAGACACTTTGTTTATACTCATGTAAATACGACACTACTAAAATGATCATGAATAGGAATGTTATCATGGTTGTTCGTGGTTTTTAACTTTAAAGATCAAAGAATATAATTTAAACACACATATGACTTTGATCAATGGTATTTTGAAGGATTTTGTTTCAGCTGTAGAGTTGAATAGGACTAAAATATCCCAAGCTTATAAGAAATATTTGTAAAAAAATATATTTCTTGTAAATAAAGGTCATCTTTGCTCCTCTCATAATAAAGATTAGGCATCTTTACAATGAATGCCATCAGTAAATTTGCATATTAAGTGTGTGATATTTCCCATAATGTCAATAAAAAAAACATTAACTTAATTATTACACATGTATTTTAAATAAATAGGGAATTTGCATTGCATTTTTGAATTTGAGCAAAAAAAAATCTCTTAAGTACAATCAAACAATTCCTAGTGTAATACTTTATTTTGTTTACCGGCACATAATATAAAAAATAATGAGAAAAAAAAACATTCTCAGTTATCTTTGACATGGAAAAAAATAGTAATAAGAAAAACCCGACAACCAATTTTTTTGTTTGTGCAATCATATAATGAAGAGGCTATTCTGACCCAGGTATCAGAAGTGAGAGGTTGGGATTTTAAAAAATATTAAAAACACTATTGTAAGTGTAAGACAAAATTTGGTATCAAATTAAAGATAATTGAATGGAGTATATGTTTGTAAACTTACTTCTTTAATTAACTAAAATAAACTAACACAAATGATATTTGAATAGCATTTAGTCTAAAAGGACACAGGTACGAATAGCCGCTATCCGGACCCGGGTCCCAGTAGACTAAATGCTATTCGAATGTCATTTGTGGTAGTTTATTTTAACTGAAGAATTAAGTTTACATACATATAGTCCATTCAATTATCTTTTATTTGATATCAAACTTTGTCTAACGAACCCAACAATAATATTTTAAATATATTTTAATAAACCCAACCTCTAACTTCTGGTACCTGGTCCGAATAGCCACAGCCATCATGTAAAGGGAATTCATTCATAAATACATCTTGTAAAGTGTAAACTTTTAGTCATTTGATAAAGAGAATATTTCCTGCACCTAAAATTCAATACTCATTTGTAAATTGTTACTAAATGCTAGTGTCTGTTAATAAAAGGTTTTAATTTTCTTTAGCACCATTATTTCAAGAAAGTGGTTTTTGTTGGTAGCTTGTTTTACGGTAATTCAACAATTTTGAAGAAAGAAAAAAAATGTGTAAAAGTACAGTTAGATTTTATGGACAATTGGTTTAATCTTAGAACAAGTTACTTTTTTTTTTTTTTTACAAGCTACTTTGTTGACTTAGAACATACTATCTGATTGATGTTAAGTCACATCACAATCAATGTAGGAAAAAAATTATAAAAATGTTTTTTAAAATTTGTGAACACCACCTTAGCCTGCCAATCTCATGACCTAGTCAAGAGGTTCCCAAACTTGTTAAGAGTCACAGGCGGACTTGCTGCATCCTGCTTTTCCAAAGACACCCTTTGTCAAATTGTGACTAGTGAACTGCGAAATGACAATTTTTGTTCTTACTTTGTAGCCCCTGTGAGGTAGTCGGGGGTTCCTCAGGGTGCTGCACAGCACAGTTTGGGAATCTCTGACGTGGTCTATTAAAAAAATAAAGAGTTAAGGTATCCACCTGAAAAAAAAAACCCAACACGTTTCTCTATCAGGAAACATACACTTAAAACTTTTGAACTGGTGCTTCATTCACAAGATGTTTATTCAAGAAATAGGCTATTGATGAGTAAGGAATTCTGGATATGTTGTTTCACACATCAAAAAAACCAATCCGTTTTGATATCTTTATGCCAGCAGTTCAAACATAGAAATAACTTAAAACCTATGATCTGGAGGATTTTGGTTGGTAAGGCTGTTGGTCCGAGGTCCAACAAAGAACTTGAGCAGTCCATTAATAAGCAAAGTCAGCGACTCCGGCTCACGTTCGTAAGCATGCATCACTGACATCATGGACAAGGCAAACAGTATAGTGAAACCATGTGGTATTTGAAGGTAAGGCCTCAGATTTGAGCGCTTGAGTGCTATGTACAAAATGTTTAAAGTGTGTGGGATGACAAATAAACAAAGCTCCTTTCTACGACTTTCTCTGTAAATAATAAATACAGAAAAATTTGAAAAATTAGCAGACCTTTTAAAATTGAATTCTTTTTATAAGCTTAATTTTACTGAGGGATGACCTAATTGAACACTGCAAAGTGGTTAATGTTATCATTTCATGACAGATAAGTTATTTGAATATTTCCATTAATTTGTAGTCTACTGAAGATGGCAACTTATAGCATCAAGTTGTCTAACCTAATCTATGTTTATGCCAAATGTATGTTTAAATAACAACCTCTTGATCCCACAAGCATTTGTACTGTAATTATAATGTTGAAATATTGTCTAGAAAAGAATCATTTTGAAACAACTGTCACCATTGAAAAAAACTAAAATGTTTTCCTTTTGAAAAAAATCAACAACAAGAATGATTTACCTTTCCAAGAGCAATGCCAATCCACAAATGGCTCCGCCTAATGCTGGAATGTATCCTGCAATGGGTGGTGGCTGATGGGAGTAGTTGCGCAGCACACATATTGTCAATTTGGCAATGCTCACCATAATCCCAAGGAAAGATGTTGATAATACCATGTTCTTCAATAATGACTTCAAGACATACATGGGTCTATAGATGCAGGAATAAAACATGAAGAATAAATGTTAAAAAAAGAATAGTTTGAATGGCAGGTTAATTATTGTTGAAAGTTTGAAACATCTATATCTGGCAGTAAAAACGCTATGAAGGTCTAAGCATTTAATTCACTGATTTTTATTTAGATCTTTTTTAAGTTTGGCAGACAGATGGAAAAGTTTTGAAATTGTACCAGGAAACAGGAAAAGATTTATTAATTATCATTTCTTTTTATTTTATTATTAATTTACATGTTGTAGAGGCTGGCATCATAAGTTTCAAACTGAAATATCTAAAATAATCCAGTTGGAAAAATATCTAGATTTGAATCATAATTGTAATAGTAGTAGGAGGTTAAAAAAGGAAAAGTTAAAATAATAATTTTCTAAGTCTGGAGCCAGGAAAAAAAAAGGAATATAAACATTGTTTGTTTAATGTGTAAATTAATGCTATAACAGTAATTACTTGTTTGAAAAACATTAAATAAATTTAAATGATAAACAGAAAGCGCAAAATTATCATTTATGTCACATTTAGGTCACCTTTTATCACAAGTATTCTTCAATGATAAAATGGTTCAAACATTTTAAAAATAATTTCATCTATTTTATCAGTGTGTTTTTCGGATGTCTTTGACAAGCAACAGTGCATTTAAGAGTAGGTTTGGAAAGAGACAAGGCAAAGCCCACCTTCAAGATAAATAGTGAAAATGTAACATAGACTTCTACTTTACCTTTATAAAAACACTCAGTGTCCTAAACAGATATGGGGATTCCCCTAATTTTGATTTATCAAAATCCTGTCTAAGACTGATCTGTTTATGGAATTTCAGCTCTGTTCCTGACTGAATTCTCCAGATATAAGCAATTGAATGTGATACCCAAACCAAATATATATATAAATATATTTATGAAGGTAATAGAATTTAAAAAAATATAAAAATGGAAAAAATTTGCCATTCACTTTGTGAGGATATGCAATTTAAAATGCAAAGGGCATTCACTATTTCAAAAAACTGTTGCGGTAATGTGCTTCTAGGTGATTATAGTGAAATCTTATTAATTTCTATTTAGTAATAAGAAATATTAAGTTTCCTTGATCGAAGTGTGTGACGAGGTGAGCTATTTGAGTGATTGGCGAAGGAACTTGTGTGAACAAAAGGTGTGCGTGTTTGGTAGAGCGGGAGGAACGGAAAAACGAGTCAGGGAGTTAAAGAATAAACAGTGTAGTCCAGTGAACCATTTATTACGTAGTTTTTTTTGGCTAAGTTTATTAGCGAAACTTACAGTATGNTTTTTTTATTAGAAATATTACCTGTGTAAATAGTTTAAATTCTTGTCCGTGAAATCCCGAGACCATTTCAATATTGACCTGTAGTAGCCGGTGTTTAGATAATGGGGTTTCAAGGATACACAGTAAACAATGAGGCTTGTGCATAGGCAGAAAATGGCAACCTCAAAACATGGCACTGCATAAACAACTCCTACAGTCAAAAAAACCAGAAAGATATTTTAATGATAGCAATTAAAGTGTCATCCAGATTTTTAATGCAGATTTTGGTTTTTTTCTATTCTTAAATAACAGAAAAAACAAGTTTCTCTCAAATAGTAAGTCATTTTTAGCATTTAACTATATTATTTGAAAATAAACAGAATTAAAAATTAGTTCCCAAAATGCATGTAGAACTAAATATTGGCAAATCCTATTGTATTTTAGACCTCTCAATCCTTTTGCTAAAATATGAAACACCCCTACAGTTTGGTAACTGAAACTGTTCTAAAGAAACAAAGCAAGTATACAGAAACCAGAAGAATACTAATTTAAACCCAAATCTTTTTTGAAGTTGAAGATGTTCAGATGCAAAATCAGAAAACATTTAACAAATTCATTTATCTTTAATTTGTGCTAAGTACCTCTTGTCACTAATGTTGAAAGACTCGCACCAAGAGCCCTTGAGAGTGTGAAAAATGCCAATGTCTGTCTCATTGACTTGTTTAA